GACCCAGGAGAGGAGAAAGCTGTCCTTCCTCCCCAGTAGCAGATCCATAGTCTGGGAGAGGAGGAAGCTGTCCTTCCTAGCCAACAGTCAGCCAAAGCAGAGGATGTGGGGATCCAGCTAAAGCGCTGGCAACAGGGCAGAACACTGCTGGCCTCTGTCTACAACCTACCACGTCTTCATGGCTCCAGCGAGTTGGGGCAGTAGGCCCTTCTACCTGGCAGCAGACTGAATCCCAGAACAGTAAAGACCTCCCAGCTGAAGCGCTTGCAGCTGGACAGAGGGTCCAAGACCTCTGCTTCACACCTACTGATAGCAATTCCTACCTGTGGCCAAGAATGAAGATAATTTGGTCTATGTGAATTCACTCTGCTGACTAACGCATGTATAGACCAGGTGGAGGTCTGGGACCTAGTCAACCTTGGAGGGGGGGAAATGTGACAGACCCAACCAGGACAGGGGCTTTTGGAGGGAACTGCAGACTAGCTTTTTGCCTACTGGTTATGGGCCCTGGCATTTGATGGGGCTCTATTCTTTAGAAGGTGTGTGCCTGGGGAATCTTTCACGTTTTACTTCAGATACAAGTGAATGTCTTGCCGAAACACACAGACTGTGACAACTGGAGGACCCAGATACAGATTTGGGGCCTCTGTGTTTTCTTATGGTATAGACCAGGGGTGGGCAAACTGTGGCTCTACAGCTGTTGCAGAACTACAAGTTCCATCATGCCTCTGCAAGTCATAGCTGTAACTGTCAGTTTTGTAATGTTGCAATGTCTCATGGGAAATGTAGTTCCACCACAGCTGGAGAGCCGGTTTGCCCACACCTGGTATAGATAACCCAAACCAACATTGACTGCTTTAACCTCTCTTGGACTCAGAGCAGATGTTAATATAATCAGCTCAAAACAACCTGATGCTGAGGTCTCCTGTTGTAATCTATTTATTAAGAGCCAAGTGAAAATCTTGGTGGGGGAAGATTGGTGTCTGTCTCTGCAGTAGCACAAGGTTACTGGGTGGAGCTCTACCTTTTGAATTTCTGAGGGATCTCTAAGGATTGATTCGGGGCTCAGTGGCATGCGCATGGGCCAGACTGCTAGCCATATATACTAGGGGTACACTGGAATGAAAATTCTGTTGCCAAAAATTCAGGATGCACTTTTCCCGAAAACCAAAACAGAGTTTTTACATTTTTTTAAATGAATGTGGCTGGCAATTTTGCACTGAAGGCACTAGGGGACATTTTTGCATTACAGTCTATGGGACACAACTTTGCATGAAAGTCTACGAGATTCAATTCTATACTGAAGTCAATGGGGGTGTGATTTTTGCATGAATGTCTATGGGACATGATTTTGCACTTAAGTCACTAGGGGGGATTTTTGCATTGAAGTCAATGGGGATGCGACTTTGCATGAAAGTCTATGAGTCAGGATTATAAAATTGAAGTCACTAGGGGGCGTTTTTGCATTGAAGCCAATGGGGAGGCGACATTTCATTCAAGTCTATGAGACACAATTCTGCACTGAAGTCACTAGAGGGCATTTTTGCATTGAAGTCAATGGGGATATGACTTTGCATGAAAGTCTGAGACGCGATTTTGCACTGGTCACTAGGGGGCGTTTTTTGCATAAACATCTATGAGATGCGATTTTGCATTGAAGTCACTAGGGAGCATTTTTGCATTGAAGTCAATGCGGATGCAACTTTGCATTAAAGCCTATGAAACGCGATTTTGCATTGAAGTCAGCAGGGGGTGTTTTTGCATGACAGTATATGAGACGCGGTTTTGCATGTATCAGCACCATTACCAGCAAAATGCAGAGAACTATTTTCAGCCGATATGTTTTACCACTGATATATTTGTGCATCCTTACTAAAAACAAAAACTGGATGCATGGACAGGCTCAAAAGAGCATAAGAGGCTTTAAAGGATACTCACAAACCTTTTGTCCCCTGGGTCTTTAAAGACTGGGATGTCCTTAACTACAACCCTCAAAGATTTATTGAGGCAGTAAATAGACGGATCTAACACCGAAATTTTGCACTTTTCGAGGTAAGCCTCCTCAAGTGGATACTGCTGAGCAACCTCTTAGGAGGAGTGTCCATTTTGTCTAGCAGCGGCCAGCCTACATACAGAACACATAGTAGGTTTCTTGTATTTGGGAAGAAATAAGATAGCCCTAACGTCAAACAGGAGTGTACCCCATCCACCAGAACCTTAATTCTTTTCTTTCAGCTTGGGAGAAATGGAAGGTGACTGCTGGGGGGGTTAAATTTACCTTCACTTCCTCATCACTAAGTTACACTGCTGTGATGGATGAGAAAAGGACGGACCAGGGGATGTAGGCTAGCAGTGCTTATGGCTTGCACACCCACAGTCTCTAGCAAAGCACAGGCTTTCCCCCTCAATGGATCTGCCACACAGGCTGAAAATTGCTCTCTAGTTAAAGGAAGACTGGGGTGTGTCTGAGGAGATAAGAGGAGACTCCGAGGTGTGGAGACTGACGTCCAAAGTACTGGAAGCAAAGTTTTCAAAGGAAGCCTGAATAACCTCATCATGGCCCAGTGCACAGTGTGTGCAGGCCTGCACCCTCATCCATTGTGTCCGATTTCTACCCTGGGGTGTAGGGATCTCCTAAGAGCCACTCATAACCGGGTGCTGGGTTTCAGCTGTCCCGTGTCTCACAGCTGAAGGCTGCTGGAAAACCAGTGAAGGTCAATGTGGTGACAAAGGCCTTAAAAAAAAAAAAAAAAAAAAAAGGGAGCAGAGTTTACCCTTAAACAGTCTTGTCCTGCACACTGCAGACAGAGCTGGCTGCTGCCCACCTGAATGTGGCACCACAGAAGATGCAACACAATTACAACAGGAAGGAGAATATGTCTCTGAAAATGTGACACACTTACCACACAGGGTGGGTGTGGGGGAGAAACAAATAAATGGGGTCAAACAGCACAGCATGGCCACAAACTATTTTTAAAAGTACACAAGCCAGGTGCCTGGTGTCCAGGGACTGCGAGGGATTTGGTATGAAAGGTGTTTAAGAATTCCCAAAAGGGAAAGGTGCACATTTTCAGACTCACCACTAAGGTGTTGGCTCCATCCTTTGTAGGAACTCACCAGGAGGGGATTCCAGGCTTTGCTCACTTCACGAGGACATACCTCCCCTTCCATAAGAGTCTTCAGGCGCTGGGTCACAAAGATGCAGATCACCACTGTGCCGGACCTGTGGAGCACCCCGTAGCTACCTAAATTTTACTGTATTGCTGCACCAAGGACCAGAGTCAAAAGCAGAGTCTGATGCCAGAGGCAGTTTTAGAGGACAATCCCATGTCTTCCATGAGGCAAGGTCTGGGTATGGTTCCCCTAGGTCACAGGTCTCAAACTGGCGGACCTCCAGCTATTGCCAAACTACAAGTCCCATGAGGAATTGCAAGATTGAGTTACAAGCATGACTCCCAAAGGTAGAGGCATGATGGTAGTTTTGCAACAGTTTGAGAGCAGCCAGTTTGACACCCCTGTCCTAGGTGAGGCTGGGGGTAGGGGGACCGACCTGGAAGCAGCAAGAATTAGCCTTTGTGAAGCCAGGGTGAGAAATGACTTTTTCGTGTTAAAGTCTATATAATGTGAGTGTAGTCTATGCAATTTCAAAGGTAGAAATCAGAATCATAACCTAGAAACCTGCTCAGTTGAGATGTCAGCCATCACCTATGAACACTGACACAAAAACAAAAAAAAAAAAAACAACCAAAAACCACAAAAACCAAAAACAACAAACAAAACAAAGAAAAAAAAAACAAAAAAAAACACCTGATGTATATGACATTAATGATTTGAATCATTTATCCAAACAAGTATGTTGCAACTAAAAATACAACTGATCTGCATACTTGCTCTAGGTCCATGTGCTCTCAATAGAGATGGACCTTGGGTGCACGATCCATGTGCTACTCTACATTGTGAAATTTAAAACACATCTTGATCAGCACACAGCCTTAATATATAACAAAATCCTTTATTGTAATCAGTTTAAAAACAGAGCAAAGTGATTGAATTGGTATGCTATGTGTCTGCTCCTATCCATGTATGTGACACATTGTATTCTTTCGTAAAATCTTTGGTAAAAGAAAAACAACGCAAGGCAGGTGTATATATATTATATATATTATATATATATATATATATATATATATATATATATATAAAAATCTAATCACCTGTGAAATACATGCCTCCCTTAGTTTTTTAAATGGATTACAATAAAGGGTTTTGTAATATAATCTGGCTGTGCTGATCAACTTGTGGTTTCATAAATGTGAGTCAGAAAGAACTAAGGCTAGTTGCCTATTTACAGATCATTGACCTACTTATTCCTCCCATGACAAGTCTACTTTAATTAAGGTTGCTTTCCGATTGGTTCCTATGGGTTGCTACACCTTATTGCTTGTTGTACCATATTATTAGTAGATTATATGCTTGCAAATGAGACAGAAATGAAACACAGCTGAGTTATTGTTTATTTCCTTTAATTTAGGACTCAAATACACAGGATAAGGAAAAAAAAAAAAAAAAAAAAAAAAAAAAGGATAAATATCCTACAAAAGAAAGCAGGCCAATTCTAATTCAGTTGCTGGGGGGGAAAAAAAAAAGCCCAGCAGTCTCTTTTAGCCAGAAGGATGGGGGTGCACGATGGGGCTTGCAGAACCTCAAAAGCTAGAGAGTGCAGCCTGACAAAGATGCTTGTTTTAGTCCAAAAAGCACCAACAAGAGGTCCACCCTCTGCAGTGTTCCAGATGTCTGATCAAAGGTGGCCAGTCAGAATATATCCACCACAAACCATATCGGCCCATGTAGAGAAGTGCAAAAGATATTGAAGATTTGAGTAATCGGCTACACCTGCAGGCTGAAGAGATGTTGCTCCTTAATGTTGATTACACCATGTTTAGCAGTCTTGTGGCAGCAAAGTTTTGACAACAGGTGGTCTGAAGGGTAGCAGAGGCAGATCATAAAACTCCCTGGGTAGGAGGTGTTTTACCCATAATCTTTTTGGAACATTCCAACAGGGCATTGTGTATGTCCTTAGCACAGGTGATCTGGGACTTGATCATGCTCAGATACTGGGTGTATGGCAGGCTCTCCGTCTGGACGGCATCTGGTTTGGTGGCAGTAGGCACAAGAGTGGGGGAGTGCTTGGCGCTGTCATAGCTTTGAGAGAGACATTCATAGGCAAGGCGCTGTGGGAAAGGACAAATAAGACCACATTATGGCATCCCCTCCACAAATACACCAAATTCTTCCCATCATGCAGCCACAAGTAAGAGATCCTTCTAAAAATAAGGGATGGCACTGAGAACCTTTGCTTTAGAAAATGCTGCCTTACTCTTATGCAGCTCTTTGGTTTCAATATTTTCCTAATCATTTATCAAAGTAGGCACATCAAGAACGTTTGAAAAAGTTGAAGGTCTTATCCGCATACTTGTTCTTAATCAGCACGACAGGCAATTAGCATTTTCGGAAGCAGAGCTCAGCAAAGGCAGCCTTTGTATGGACTGCACCTGACCATTATGCAATCATACATTATACAGGCATGATGTGAAATCCCATCTCACTAATGCGTACAGGGGGAGATTTATTAAAACTGGGGAATGCAAAAATCTGGTGCAGCTATGTATGGTAGCCAGTCAGCTTCTAACTTCAGCTTGTTCAATTAATAAGGCCTCATACACTCAGGACATTTCAAAACACTCCTCTTTGCAGCAGCATTCTGGCAGAAAAAAAATGGCTGAAGCTTGTCAAAGGGTCAAGCACTTGGGATTAAATTCATTTCACAGGCCAGAATAATTTATTCTGGCCACTGAAAGGAATTAACGCTCAAGTGCTAAACACACCTAGCACTAACACACATTTACACGTGTCAAGCATTTTTTTTTTTCTGCCATGACACTGCTGCTGGACACCTGGGGTTGTTTTTTTTTTGTTCCCCCCAACCCCCCGCTTGTAAAAGCCACTGCCACTAAAAGCTTCTAAAAGTCTATGTGTGCATGGGCACATAGCAGGAATGTTCAATTGATATCGCCCGACACCCAGGACACATACTCCTGGACACCGGCAAGGTAGTAATTTTTTTTTCTTTTTTTTCCTTTAGCCCTGCTATGAGCAAGCAGCGGAGCTCACCTGTAAAGTGAAAGCATTCAGGAAGCAGAGCTACCATCCAACTGCTTCCACAAAGCCCACTATGGTGCCAACCTCTGCCCCCCTGCCCACTATATCTCCTGGACTCCGCTTGCCCATCTTGCTTCAGTATAGGGAAGAGGGGACACATCCACTCCCCTCCCCTTTTTTATCCTAATCCAGAAGTGATGTGATGTCACTTCCAGGTCCCCGTTGACAGATTCCTGGCCATCAAGGCCAGGAAAGAATGGAATGCAATGCGCACTGCATTACATGCAGTGGAGTCCAGGGGAGACATATTTTAGACCCTAGATGTCTCAAAAAAGAGAAACAGTCACCAAAAATCATCACATAGGGGGCTTTTTGTCTCCTATGTGATTAAAAAAAATACATATTTTTTAAAAATTAAAGTTACACCCAAGCATATAACCCCCTTCCCCCATTTTTCAAGGTTCCCTATATATGTATGCATGTACAAATGTAAAAGCACATGCCGGGGCGCCTACGCATGAAAATGATGATTGCAATATGCGTTACATATCGCCAAGCACATCAGAATGAGAGCAATAATTGTAGCACCAGACTTCCTCCGTAACCCTAAACTGATGACCTATAAGGGGCTTTCAAAGCGTCACCTATAGAAAACTATAGGGTTACTAAAGTTTGTTGCCATTTCACGAGCACACACACAAATTTAAGCTTTGTCATTTTGGATATCCATTTGCTCGATGAAACATCGTCTTTTCTATTTTACAAAAAATTTGGATAATTTATTGCTTTTTGTGCCCTAAAATTTTCGTGATATCGTGACATAAAAAACTGGAACTACTGCTATTTTATTCTCTAGGGTCTCTGATTTCAGAAAATATATCATGTTTTGGAGTTTTGCGTAATCTTCAGGCCTTAAATGATTTTTTTTTTTTTTTTTTTTTAAATGTATGCAAAAAATGCAAAAACAGCTCTGGCAGCAAAAGGGATAAAAGAAAAGATCAACACTCCCCTTTACTGATGAACACTTAGTCGGTGCTCATTGCACTGCTAGGTCTTGCCCCTCCCTGCTAGTCCCTGGCTGCGGTGCTGGAGACAGGCAGGGAGGGGAGGAGGAGATAAACCATGTTAAAAATATTAAAATGTTTAAGTCGCCATAAAGCCCCTTTTGTTTTTAAAAGCCCCAGACATTACTTAAAGCAAATTTAAATACAGTTCGGGTTAAAAAAAATATATTTTTTATTATCAGGACAAGTAAATTGTCATGAGGGACAAGTAGACTGAGACACCGGTTTAGTCCCTGGACAAGTATTTTTTTTTTTCAAAAATTTGCACACCCCTGACATAGAATAACACGGAGGGCCATGTGGAAGCAGTAAAACAACAATAGAAAAAAAAAAAACACCTGACGCCCCTAAAAGTGGCTGCAAAAACACCCCATGAGCATGAGGCCTAAAACCTGGAAGCTGACTAGTTTCTTTGCAGAGCTGCACCAGATTTTGCACTCTCCAGTTTTAGTAAATCAACCCCACAGTCATCATATATGTTTTAGTGTATGTTGCAAACAATTCAGTGTTCTGAATAACCATATGGGTTGTAGGCCCATATAAACTAGACCATAGGATGTTGCAGTTGTATATATTCAGCTCAGGTGAAAACCTGGCACACTGCAAATAGACTTGACATATTTGGTGTTCAGCAAATTGCTATAGATGAACATCCAGAGCAGCACATATTATTACAGAAAGAGCTCTGAGGATTGGGGGCTGTTTGGAATACTTATAAAAACTATTCAGAAAGTTTAGGCAGGCTGTTGTGTCCCGTCAAATGAAAAATGTGAATGAGGCGTTAGGCCTAGAAAACACTTGAACATTTTGGAAAAGGTCAGAAATACCTACCAAGTGCTGCAAAGTGAACAAGCTAGATTATATATAATTCCTATAACTTCCTATATATGGAAATATGTTTTCAGGTTTAGATCTAAAGTGGTTGTAAACCTCAGATGTGAAATACGAACAAAGTATATATATCTATAGTGTGTGCTTGTCTCAATCCAGAGTGCTGTCATTTCTATCTGTCTCATTCCTCTACCTCTCCCTATCAGCATGAGACATGTTTTGGTGAGCTTTCCTGACACCAAGTCACACATCACAGGTTCCAGAAGACTGTGGGACCAATCACAAAGCACAGCGCTGGTCACGCATGCGCAGTAGGGAAGCGGCTATGAAGCCGGAAGGCTTCACTGCCAGTTTCTCTTAGTTAAGATGCTGGCGCCTGCACCCAAACCAGATTAAGGAAATCAGCTCAGGTGCGGACAACGCCGATCAACTGGCCATGTAAATGTCCTTATAGTAGAATTCAGCAGCTACAGTATTTGTAGCTGCTGACTTTTAGTTTTTGGGGGTGTTTTTGAGACTGGAACTCTGCCTTAAGGGTTATATTGAGGTTTAGGGTCTACGCTTTTTTTGGGGTGTGGTAAGTATACTAAAAGGTGTGGGATCAGTGTGATGAAATTTATGGTGATTGAACTAGTCAAGTTGATTTTCAGAAGCTTAAAAAATAGACATTTGGGAAGGGGCAGGGGAGATATATAACAAAGGGAAACAATAAAATTATCAATGCAATAACACAAGTTCTATGTGTTGTTGCACTAGCCACATCAAATCTCTTGAAAAAGAAAAAAAAATCAATATTATTATTATACAGTATTTATATAGCGCCAAAAGTTTACTCAGCGCTGTACATTACAATGGGAGACAGTACACGAGACAGTACAGTAACAATACAACGCGATACACGAGGGGTTCAAGGGCCCTGCTCCTTGGAGCTTACAATCTAGGAGGGAGGGGAGAGTGGTAAAGGAGGAAATAGCTGTGGGGGATTGAGTGATGGGAAGAGTGGAGGAGATCAGCAATTAGGTGAGGGCTGGGTAGTCTTCTCTGAAGAGATGGGTTTTCAGGGTGCGCCTAAAAGATGAGGAGGGAAGGTGGACAGTCTGACGGGCTGGGGTAGTGAGTTCCAGAGGATGGGCCAAGCCCTGGAAACAGGCATGGGATGAGGAGACCAGGGAACTGGAGAGTAGGAGGTCTTGTGAGGAGCGGAGAGTGCGTTTTGGGTGGTAGATGGATATCAGGTTGGTGATGTAGTTTGGGGCAGTGTTATGGATAGCTTTGAACGTCAATGTTAATATTTTGAATTTTATGCGTTGGGCAATTGGAAGCCAGTGGAGGGATTGGCAGAGAGGGGAGGCAGATATGGAGCGGTTGGTGAGGTGGATGAGTCTGGCCGCAGAATTCAGGATAGACTGAAGCGGGGATAGCCTGTGTTGGGGTAGGCCGGCGAGGAGGGAGCTGCAGTAGTCAAGTCGTGATATGATAAAGGGAGTGAATGAGTTGCTTTGTAGTTTCAAGAGTTAGGAACGTGCGTATTTTGGAGATGTTGCGGAGGTGGAGTCTGCATGAATTTGTCAATGATTGGGGCTGGAAAGACAGATTAGAGTCTAGAATGATACCTAGTACTTTGGCTTGCGGGGTGGGGCTGATGGTGCCGTTAAATATGTGACAGTTTCTTTTAATGTCTGATAGTGTGCACCAAGCTCATCAAGCACTTGCACCAATGTTCTAAGTTAAAAATGGTTTTAAAATGTACACCATTACCACAGTGGTATCAATACTGTAATGTGGCAAGAAGCAGCACTGCAGGAGGGAAGAGCTGGACATGTATAGATGGACAGCACACCACTATAATGCAACTCAAATTATCCTGCAACCCGTATATGGTAAAATAAATGCTACTAAATAAGCGTGTATATATAGAAATTGGCACATTTTTCTCTGTGTACTTTGTTAATCCCCCTGGTGTGTATATTCAAATCTGCAAAATGGAAGCTGTCAGGTAGCCGAAGCCTCTCATGAAATATGCCACTTTGTGACTCCTGGCTAACTTACCAACTCTGGAACACCAACGTCATACACAGAGTGAAGCTGAACAGACTTGGCTTTACTTTCCTAGAACTAGCAGCCAAGACAACAAATATTTTACACCATTTCTTTCTTTAAAGAACAGTCCAACCAGG